CTAATTCAGTCTTTTCCTCCAGCGAACAAGTTGGCTTTGTTCCACCTCTCTAGCCACTTCCCATAACATCCTCAAGAGGGCGCTGGATTCATGACGCATAAACACCTGTAAGGCGAGAGAGAGAGCGCGGCGACTCTTATCCAGCCACATTTCTGCACTTCAGGAATGACAGGATTGTTCTCGTAAGGTCAGACAGACCAGCGAGTCAATTGGACTTTTCTACAAAAAAAAAAAAAAAAAGCTGATTTGTGATTTTTTTCAGTATTATGTCACGAGTTGTTTTTTTTAAGTAGTCAACATTTTTAGGGCAAAACGATTAGACTCAACGATTAGACTCCTGTGAAGGAAACAAAACTCTTTTCTTCCGCCAATGTAACGATTGGCTCCACCTAAATGCCTCAAGCATTACATGTATTCATGTCGAGCAGTATAACATTCCAAAATGTCATCATACTAGACACAAAACAATACATAAACAGATGAGCTTTCCAATACTTTGATAAGTTTTATTTTTCAAAATTAGATGTAGAACATACATCGAAAAGAAGTCATAAAATGAAGTTTTACAATTTAAATAAAACATTTTTAAAAATAGACACCGACAACAGTAACTTCATATTTACTATTACTGTAAAAAAACAAATGATCAAAACAGTTCAATTTTAAAAGCAATCATATTGTTCATGCACTGCAACCCGTTTTTTTGTTTGTTTTTTTTCTCCCTGGTACATGTTTTTGAGCTTTCAGTTTCACTCAGAAAAAAAAATTCTGTGGTAGTTCCCTGTACAACATTTTTAACATGATCCTGACATCATCCTTCTCTTGACTATACTGTTTTGGCCACACATAGGTATTTTACATGACAAAGAACATAAGAAACAGCATTTACATTTTGATACAATTAAAGACGTTTGTAAGATCTGTATCAGTGGCCTTGTTTAATGATGATATCGGTCATGCCGTCAATCTTGTGCAGCTCCAAGTTCTGTTGATGGAAAGAAGAGCTTTTAGATTTACAGCAATCAAATGTTGTGATAATTCAGGAGATCACAAATATGGAGAATCATGTTTCCTCATGTAAGCTACAAAACATTCAATGCATACTAATGCAAGACAGATCTATAGACAAAAGACAACATGGTGTTATTAAATCAACAACACACCTCCATCTACATTAGTTTTTGAAATCATTCTAAATAACAGAGTACCCACTTTCTCATTAGCCAAGTGTAGAAGGGCCACAAAAGCCAACGGTACTGAGAGATTGGTAGCCATGGTTGAGGGAAGCCTAGGGGAAAAAGAGAAAAGAAGAATTTATGTTAGGGGTGTGCTGATCCGATATTCAGTATCGGTATCTCTCCGATACTGGCATTTTTGGCCGGATCGGGTATCGGTCAGAGACCGATCCAAATCCGATATTCTGCGTATACTATTCTGTGTTATTGTTAAGCGCCACGAAAGGCACAAACACATTATAAAGCACCATAAAGTTTTTGTGCACTATATTTCAAGTGTTCTGAAGCCGTTCCATAGTTTAATGTGAGGTACAGATTAATATTCAAGTCGTTAAATTCAAGTTCAATTAAACTCTTCTCTCCGCTGCAGCTGTGCGTCATCCTCCATTCAGCGTTCAAACTGCGCGTCGCGTTCGGTTACGACAGTCAAGACGACAATAAAACTCTCTCCAGGATGATTCAATGTTCCTATTATTATACTTGATCTGTAGATAAAGGACTATAAAGGCATAAAAGGACTTTATCTTGCTGGAGTTTAGTGCTGTTTCTGAAGCATGTTACTTTCTACCGGGTGTCTGTTAGAGATCACTACACTGGAGTAGAAAGCAGGGCTGTCAAAATGGCTGAAAAACTATATTCGAATTTTGTACTTAAATATTATCAAAATTCGAATTATATTTGAATTTAAAATGCATAATTTCAGTTAGGGTGAAGAAAAGCTTTTGGCTTCTCTTCTGAGGCCACAAGAGGGCGCATCGAGCAAAATATTACTAATGCACATTTATTCAAAGCATAAGACAACATGACTATCTTTGAAAAAAGTGCATAATGTTTCAAATAATGTTTATAAACCAATTATAATTAATTAAGTTGAGTAATAGATGTCCTTCTAGAAAAATGCGCGAAATATGTGTTCTGTGTGAACGGCTTGATTTTAAAATTTGACGAATATTCGAAATTCAAATTTTTTTTTGACAGCCCTAGAAAGCACTATGAATTGTTCTTCATGAATTGTTCTTTCAGTAACTGAAATTTAAAACTGTTAAAAGAAAATGCTCAAACCATCACACAGATATAATACACTACACATCAATGTCTCTTCCCTTTGTGCTTTGAACTTTTCCATGCTGCGCGCTGTGACTCCGTGTTGCTTCAAGCGCATCATTCTGCGCACGGGATGCGCATAAGCGCTTTGTGCCGCTCCGTATGGAGCCTTTCATGTTATAATACGTTTGCGCAATGAAAGATTAATAAGAAATGTCTTTCAATTTTATAGTATATTAATTAATATATAAATTAATGTATTTTACAACAATACAAAGAGCAACGTAACATTTTACCAGTTTTTCCCTACTCATTTTTTTTTCACTAAATGTTTAGATTTTATAAAATTATTGTGCACTTAGGATTTTTCTAGAGTAACTTTTGCTACTGAATTATCCATTAACCTTGTTTTATAGTAGTATTTTTGTCATATATTATGATTATATATTTATTCATTTGTTGTTTTTCTTTACAATGAAGTTGTCTTTATGTGGTAGGTTGTGTTTAACACACAAAAGAGTGATGATCAGGTCAACACATTGAGGTATGGAAATTCTACACTGATTTAAAAAAAAAAAACTGCACTGGTATCAGATTGTTATTGGCCGATACTCAGAATTTCTGGTATCAGTTCTGAAAAAGTGGTATCGTGCCAGCCCTAATTTATGTACAGTACATGCTAGAAAAATGTCAATCCTTAGTATTTCTTCCATGGGCCAGAACAGTGAAAAGATACTGTACATAGCACCAAGTTTAAAAAAAAAACTGTACCTTTGTACAAGATTCCTGACAGACTGGCTGAATGATTTTTCTCCAGGTACTTCTGTTGTTTCCTCACTGTCCACCTGCTAGAAATGGTAATTTAAGTAAATAATTTAAATAAATAAATAAATGTTCTAAACTTAACTAAAACACACTGAAAGATAAAAGAGCTTCAATAAGCCCAGAAAGTTACAATTACAAACCTTTGCTGGTTTTTCAGGACTCTCTGTTAGGAAACCCCACATAGTTGTCTTCAGCTTCTTCATGTCCATCTTTTTGGCTGTCTTGGCATAGTTTATCTCAATAGTGTTTACCTAGAGCAAACAGCAAATACAATTAAAGGCTGATTTATACTTCTGCGTCGAAACTACGCCGTAGGTTGTGCATAGTACGCGCAGGCTACGGCGTAGCCTGACGTGCACCTCTCCAAAAATGTCACAGTGCGTCAAATCTACGCGGACCGCAAGGGCTGTGATTGGTCTGCTAGTACCCCTCCCTCCGTATGTATTTGAGTTTTGTGTGTGTTTTTTGCACTTTAATATATTTTAATGTAGCCACTTTTGTGTTCTTCTGTGCCACCTCTGTAGTACAAATTAATTTATTAATACTCAATTCATATGATTGGTAACTTATTTGTCTTATTCTACATAGTTTTAAATAGACATTTTAAAAAGATTATAAACAAGTTTTTGAATTTGACATAGATGAACATGATGCCATTACAAAGTGTAAAAAAGCCCATGTTCAGTTCATGTTATTATATTAAAAGGGCTGTACAGCGGTCAGATTGGTCATTTATTTTCTTAGGAAGGCTAATTTTTGATCAGAATGTTTGATTATTGATCAGAAGGTGCTCCTAAATTTTTACATTAGGACAAGCGCTCCTAATTACGAGAAGAAAAAAACTGCTCTTAAACTGGGTGTGTGACAGGTATGGCTGAGGAATGGGGTTTGGTCGAAGAAAAATTTCAGTCAAAATATTTTTTTTTGCTTTAACCCCTGCAATTTAATAAGAAGCAGAATAAGACAAATAAGTTACCAATCATATGAAATTAGTATTAATAAATTAATTTGTACTACAGAGGTAGCACACAAAAGTGGCTTGCAGGTACATTTTCAGACGTTTAATGAGGCTCAGAGGTAGCATGCAGGTGGCGGC